GTCCTCTACTTGCTTGTGAAGAAGTGAAGTCTTCTTAGTCATTTTTTCTTCTTGGTAATCGGTCTTTTGATCACATTTACTACCAACTAGTACGGCATCGCGTGCCCTGGTCAGTTTTTCTTTTTGTTCTTCACCTTTTTGTTTTAGTGTTCTAAAGCAAAAACAAAAATCTAATGAATTGAAATTGTTTTATTTCACTTTTTATTCTTCTGTACTATATAAATAAGCAAAAACATATTGATGAATTCTAAGAACTCGATGACCAAAATCCATTTCAGGTAGAATGTTTACTTGTACATAAGCAGGAATCAAGATTTTATATATTTGTTTTCCTTTTAACTGTTGTGGAGTTTACGTTACGTGATATCTTTATTGCAGGTTTTCAAAACGAACACAAAAGGGTATTCACTCCTGTATCGCGATCGTATCGTAGCACCAGGAATAATCGTGCTTTTTTTAACAATGCTTCTGGCAACACAATGGAAAAACAAACGAAATAATAGCATCTCTTCTTTTAAACCAAAGAATTGAATGCAAAAAATACTGTGCTTTATAGAGCTGGTCATCAATAGAATGTCTTGTTCGTATATGAAATTGGAGAATACTTGATTTTCTCAAAATCATAACTCTATGTTTAAAACCTTCTCCCAACATATTATTTTTAATGTTATTTTAATGTTATTTTTAATTAAACAAATGTGACTCGTATTACTTTCGCCAGCGTTGCTTCATCAAAATGTAACCAAGATTATAGTTTGAACGGTGGAAAGCAATTGTGAAGGGCTACGGAACAAAACCGCCAACGCGAGTAACAACTGCATGCATTCTATTCGCGATAAATGTGAGACTGGTGGTACCGCACGCATTGTTCTTGAGGGCAGATCAGTGAGACCTCGCACAGGAAATAGCCCTGCATTCTCGCCTATGGATTTGATACGTCTTCCGCTTCCAGAGCACTGGATAGGACGAAGAGGTACGATCAATTTCTTTCACCGCGTTCTCCAGATCTAACTCCGTTGGACTTCTACTTATGGGGGACTCTTAAGAATGTTGTATACTGTAGAAAAACAGCTACGTTGGCAGCACTTTGCCTAAACAAAATTGAAATGGCATGTGCTGCAATCACTAAGGGCACTACCACAAACGTTGCCCGAACAGCTCAACATAAGTTGCACAACATTCTCAAATGTTTATCGACGTTGATTGTGGAGATTTTGAACATCTGTTGTAACTGTCGAACCTTTGAAGAACCTGTAAAGGAAGATTATGATTATTCTGCTTGTGAGAACAGCTTTGTTCTGTGAAGAACACAGCTTTTTCTTTGCTTGAAGTGTGAATACGTTTTTTGGCACCCTCTATATTTCTTCAAAAGTCCTTAATTGAGTTGCTATGAGCTTCCTTGCTACCAATGTACTTTATTATATAACTTCATTATCGTAGACGATTCTTAGTAAGCCGAGGGATTTATTATAGATTATACCCTGTATTTTGCCTTGAGCGATGAGTCGATATTGTTTCCTTTATCCGCAGATGTCTGGCTTTCCGTCTATCACAGATCGTTAGAAAAATCTAGTGATAACAACACGTGGTGGGCTGGGATTAATCTGTGTTAACTGAGCCAACGCCTTTTTAGAGACAGATTAGATTTATCGCAACCGAGAACTGACGGCAGTACAGATGACAAGAAATATTGAAGAAAAAAATGTATTAATACACACGATTTCTTCTCAGCAATTCAAAAGAGAGGGACGGAAATACGATGTTCTTTATTGTAAAAATAATGGGAAGGTGTGTGATTCTGGAACAATCACCTCCCCTCCTCCACTCTGTATTAATTAGAAAATAAAAAGAAAATTTCTCTGGAAAAAAGTTGCGTATTGGTGAAGTACGTCATAATTTACTGTAGAGACATAATGAAAAGCAAAAGGAAATGAAAAGCGCCGAGCTAAAATTCCCGGAAATTACTTCGCTTCCTGCGTGTATAATTTTACTCTAGGATCGTTGCGAAAATTGGGATACACTTCCGAAATCCAATTTCATTTCTGTACACGTTGGTGAGTTCTAATTTCAAGCATCGGTCAATTCTGGAGAGAAGGCGAGCTTTTTTTGCATTAGAAGTACATTTAGCACGATTGCTGCAGATTAGAAAACTCACATAAATTACTTCTTTCTATGACATTCTCGCGTTCCACGATGAAAAATAGTTTAGTTGAAAATATAAACCGGTCTCCTTTCTTTAAAAAAAGTCTTACAAAAGACTTTCTCAAACGCAATTGTTTTGTTTTTCTCCTATTGCCTGCGTGAGTATATATAGTGTTTTTTGACCTTAAATGGTCGAGAATGTGGATATTACAGTACATATTTGGAATTTTAAATGAGTAAACAAAAATGAAAACTTCCTTTATGTGTGACGTACTATATTATTAAGTCACTTTTCACGTGAAAATGTAGAGAACATAACAATAACTGACGACTAAAAGAAAGGTTGTATCATACTGACGTGAGAGTAGAAGAAACAAAACGCAATATGACCAACACGTGGCCGAAATAAAAACGCGATTTTCTTGTTGCCAGTGATTATTTGATTGCTTTAAATGGAGACAAGTAGTTGTGTGGTAAATACTCAGTTAAAGACAATAATGAGTAAATATAATTGATAGTAATAAATATTGTACTATAAATATAAATATATACGCAGTTTTCTGTCAAAAAACAATTAATTTTAATGAATTCATCGTTATATTTGTTTGTTGGTTTAAAACAAACCATTGGTAAATTGGAATGAAACTTCGAAGTTCACGAGAGAATTAGCTATGGCTCAAGCGCTCGAAAAAACAGGAAACAGGGAACTATGTTCTAGTACTTCCAGGTTGCGAACTGCAACGCAAAGTAGGGAAAAGCGTTGAAAAAAATAAGAACTGTTCAAATGTCAATTAGGTTGTTTAATTGGGGGCGGTCATAGAAATTAGGAGAGTGGAATTTCTTTAGTCTTCATGTACTTCAACAAAAGTAGCTGAAATAGGTAGAATATGCATGTTTAATCCTAAGGACGACTTTTTTCCTGCCCCGTTCACCATGATTTTCTGAGAGTAAGCTGAACATCCCTGGGCGGTCGAACCAGCAGTACCCGAGCGTTTTTCTCATTTTGCGTTGCACACACTTCAATTTGTCTGTGGATTGTCAGTTGAGAACACCATTTAAGAAAATATATTATTTTGACGTATCTTCCGTCCGGCGGATTTGCAATGTGCCTGTGAAGGGTGTCAAGTTATTTTGGATATTTGTAATTTTTATAATACGCACACAAAGTTTCAGACGTGACGTCATAGCAAACACTACTTTGCAAGGGATATTTGGCTGTTCGGGAGGAGCCGCCGTCGATCGAGCTCGGACAGCCAAGTATCCAATCACTCCGGCCGTGGAAGCTTACGAATACTCTACTTTGCAAGGCTTAGTGGTCTCTAGTGCTCGCATGTGTCCTTGTCAGACCAACAGCATACATTTTGGTTTGGGAAACAGATTCCGTGCATGAATTATGGAACGTGGGTCAATGACAGACGTTTAGTGACGCTATCTCTCGAAATGTGAAAGAATGTGTTTGACATCTCCCGTGGGATGTGATAGTGGAAATATTGGAGTGAGGCCCTGTAGGGTCATTGTGAAGAGGTCCATCATCGAGTTTTGTTGAGTAATAAACATTTGTTATTATATTGTATTCTAGAAGAACCCGGCAGACGTTGTCCTGCTCTCTCTCTATCTTCCCTTGCTCTCTTTTTTTCTTTCTCTCTCCCTTTCTCTCTTTCCACCTCTCTTCCTACTCTCTATCTCATTTCCCTCTTTTCCCGCTATCTCGCTATCTTTCCTCACTCTTTTTCCCTCTCTCCCTTTTGCCGTCCCTCTTTCTCCCATATCTCATTTCTCCTTTCTCTTTCCCCATTCTTCGTCTTTTCCCCTTCTCTCTTTTCACTCCTCGCTTTCTCCACGTTCTTCCTTCCCCCTCTTATTACCTCTCTTTTTCTTTTTTCCTTTCTCCCCTTTTCCTTCTTTCTTTCCCCCTCTTTATGTTCACTTTTATCTCTTTTCCCCATCTTTTTAGCTTTCTCTTTCTCTATTCTTCCTTTTACCTCCCTGTTTTCTCCTATATTTTTCCCTCTTCATTTCTCCTTTGGTCTTTTATCAATTTATTTTTTACTATTTTCCCTCTCTCGTTCCCACTCTCTTTCCGCATTCTCTCTTTTTTCGTCTCTCTCTCTCTCCCCTCTCTATATTTTCCCTCTTCTCTTCTCTCTTCCTTTCCCTTCTCTTTCTCTCTTTCCCTTTTCTCTTTCCCCTCTCTTTTCCTCCCTCTCCTTTTCCATCACTTTCCCTCTCTACTCACCCCATCCTGCGCTGCTGACTCCCGGCCTTCTCGGCCTCGCCGCGCGTCATGCGCAACGCCAACAACAATGAAGCCCAGGTGGATTGGGAATTGCACTTAACTGAAGCGCCAGCTTGTGCTGTAGCTCCATCTAGTGGAAATACAAAAAAATGAACAGCATAAAAACCTTCACCGTGAAAAAAATGCGCAACTATGGTAACTTTTGTGGAGATCGATCATTTGGTCACTTCTATACGTACTCTGTGGTCATACCGCAACGCTACTGGCCTCTGACAGATTTTATTAAAATCCGGTCTCTTAGCAACAGACGAAAAATAATGATCGTGGCGCATTTACCAGCAAATTATTACAATTTTCCGTATTTGCGTTGTATTAAATCAAATCCTGGAAGGGCCTGTAAATGTTTCGTATCAATTCATACACTCCTTTTTGTGGAATCGATGTCGATTAAATGTCGTTGAATTCACTTTGATTAATATAGATTATTTTTGTAGTGCTTGTATGATACTATACAATATTATTTTTTAAATAATTACATAATAACTGTAGGCCTTTGGGGGGAGGGGAATGGCCACTGAGGCCCGAGAGTGATTCTGAGTGAAGGACGTCTCCCTGTGTGCAGGCGCGGCGGCAGCTGGGCGGCGGCGGCTCGGACCAGGAGAGCCTGGCGTCCATGTCGCTGTCGGTGTCGCGCGTGAACGGCTCGTCGACGGGCGGGCTGCCGACGCCGACGGCCGGCTCGGGCGCGGGCGCGCTCGCGCTGGGGCTGGCGACGGGCGGTGGCAGCGGCGGCGCGTCGTCGTCGGCGGCGTCGGGCGTGGGCGGCCTGCTGGGCCTCCTGCCCGGCGACCGCGGCTCGTGCTCC